GGGGGGGACACCTTGAGTGACACTGATGCCCATTTACCATGTCAGCAAGACGCTCACCACAAGGGTCAAAGGTCAGGCCTATTTAAAAGGAATTCACTGTATTTACTGATAGCAGGCCTGGGCAAGTATTTTCTATGGATGACCAACTCTGAGCTTTACAGGAGCCATGAAAGCTACAGTATTTATTACATTTTTTATTTTATTTTTTTAAAGACCTTCATTCGGATTCTTTTCTGAAGAGGCTCATTTTGTGTGTCAGTATTGAGCAGCAGCTGACAGAGTGCGGCTAGTGCTGAAAGCAGGACATTTAGGCCACAACAGCGAAGCGTACGATTCCATCACGTACTTGGCGATGCGTCTTACGTTAACGTAAGAGACGAGGCTCAGGAGACACTCACGTCGATCTTGGCGTCCCACTCCGCCAGGGGAACACGCCGGCCGTGTATCAGGACCTGCCGCCCGATGTCCTCACACGCTGGCGTCGTTCCTTGGGGGGTGGAGAGCGACAGAGTGAGCGCGAGCCGGTGGGGGAACGCTAGGCGGTCCGATTTGGCTGGACGGCATGGACGCGGACGCTGTGACAGCACAGGCTGACATCCTCTAACTGAAGCTCCGGAGGGAGACTGTGCACCACCTGTGCTCAGAATATAATGCGCAATAAACTTAAGTAGTTTTCAAAATAAATGAAATCAAGTGAATTTCACCGAGCTTCAGACTGAGCTCTGATTTTTTTTTCTTCTGAAAAGCTAAACCAAACTGGAGAAGAATAAAGAGGAGTGGGGCGGGGGGCGGGGGGGTGTAGGCATGTTGCTGATTTATTCAAAAAGTTAATATGGTAATAGCCTTGAATTATTCACTTGGGAAAATAACACAGAAACAAATATGATTAACTGCATCACCCTGAATGTCATTAAAGGAAGTGAGCAGAGCATCAGAAATGAATAGTCAAGGTGGCAATCAGTGTTACGAGCTTGTAGAGCAAAGCCAAGACCACACAGCGGTAGCAGGGAAGATGAGGCAGCACAGCCGGTTACCGGAGACCGGACACTGCTTACCGTCCAGCTGGTCCAGCAGTGTGGCCTTCACCACACTCTTGGCCCTGGCCACGTCGCTCTCCGTCACGGTGGTGCAAAGGTTCATCCTGTGACAAGGAGAGAGAGAGGGACACACGGCCGTGCGATGGGCAGGGTGTACAGAGACTGCGATGCCCCGCGATGCCGCATTAACAGGGTGAAATGGGTGAGAAATTCTGCCCACGGGCAGGTGAGTCACTCTGGACACGCTCGGTATGAGGGAATACCGATTACCGATCCGACGAACTAGTCAGGATGCCTCAAAACACAAGGCTGCAGATGGAAGCGGAACGGGAAACGATTCAGATTAAACAGAAAAGGTGGCAGCAATCTGCAGAAGCTTCTTAATGCTTTAGCAGAAGCATAGTGCTTAAGGTCATCCCTGCATGGTGACGTCATGCCTGCATTTCAAACTGCCGCATGCTGTTATTTAATAGGTGAGGAGGGGAGGGGCGGGGGGCGGGGGGCAGCTGACGCACTGACCAGGTGTTCTGCACCATGAACATCATGTCATCGACGTGGTGCTTATCGGAGACGAAGTATACACCCAGCAGACCAGTGTCGGCATAGGAGGTGTGGAAGGCGTGGTACCGCTGGCACAGCTTGTCCTCCACGGCGGCGCGTGCCAGCCGGCTGCTGAGGTTCTGCCATGACACCAAGAACGGGGGTTAAGCGACGGACCCGCAAACAGCGATGCCAACCAGCGATGCCAACCAGATGGGTCACAGATCAATAACACATTATAGGTACAAACTGCAGCAAATGGCAGCACATGTGAGGTGATGAATGACAAGGTAATAATATAAACACACGTTATATACACGCTTGTGTAATACATGCAATACAGCACAATTAGAGATGGCATTGTATTTCATCAGGTCTGATCACGATAGCAATATTATAATACCAATCCGATATTTTTTCTCTTTTATCAACCATTCAGCGTTAAATAACATATTTGTATCAATAAATTTTAACTAACATGCCAAACTATCTTCATTTAGTGTAATAGGTTATTGTTGTTGTGCGTGTGCTGAGAATAGGATAATATAATGGTCATGTTGCTCAAACAAAAGCTGCGCCGCTTCGCTACAGGAAGACATCCACGACCAGGATGCTTTACACAAGGCTGATTCTGTGTTTTATTCAGCAACAACTCTCACAAAAACAAACAAAAATATTTCTTAAAGTGCAAATTGTGCAGTCTGACGCCAAATTAAAAATAAAGAAAGCAATCATAAAAATATCACTGTACACCCCAACTCTTTCAGCACAACCAACAGTAGGGGTGCAATAGATCACAAAACTCATGATTCAGATTGGATCACTGCTTTTCAGTCACGGATCAGATCATTTTTCGGATCAGTAAAGACAAGTGGGGGCGGGGGCAAATATGACTCTGCTTTCCATTTATTAGTGAAAGATCTTACAGAACACGTAAAGCAAGGAACTTTCAGTATGCTGAACCATGGGGGGGGGGGGGGTCTCGGTCCATTATTACACCACTAGCCAACATGATAGCTCACGTGATGGTGTTCAGCAACACGTCACCCTCACTCCTATTTACAGTATGTCGTACTAAGGTGACAAGCATTTTCGCACATTTTCAAGCTATTTCAATTACAATTACAAGTACAATTTAGGACATAGTTAATGTCCCATATGGAAATTCTGACCAATAGGGATAACTGATATAATTTTGTCTAATATCACTGATAACCAGCCAACCCGAGTCACTCGCCAGCGGCGACCAATAAAATCCCTCGTCCTCCACTACAGAAAATGGCTGATCACCAAATGCAATCATCTGCAATATTTCTGTCCATAACTCTGTTGCTGTTAACCTTGAATTGTTGTAGAGTTTAAATATTGGCCAGCAATATTAAGCAAGATTGACACATTGGACTAATACTTGATAAAAGAGATAAAAAAAAAAAAGGTATCACCAATATCGGTGCGATATCGTGCATCTCTAAGAATTCCAAAAGGGACAGCAGCTTTTTAGATGGTTCCACAAAATGTGTCCCACATCCCTACTGCTGCTTTCTTGAAGGAGAGGCCTCTCAATCGCAGTGCCTGAAATACCATTCATGTCCTGTTTTTAAACATCATTCCTCCACCAGCAAAAGTCATGACTTTGACTGCAGTTTGCTCTCAATGGTAATTTTTGCAGCAAAGTGTTTTGCATAAGAAGCGTCACCATTAATGCATGAAACTGTACATGAAGTCAGCATCTGCAAAGAGCTGGAGCATCAGAGGCGATGGTAAGAGAGCCCAAAGCACAGCGTCTGCCAGCGCCCAGCATCACAGGGTGTTTATCCTGCTCCCCAGGATACATTTCACAGAGGATTGAAAAATCAATGCTAAGCTCAAAATGAGATAAAAACCTTACAACACCACAAAAATGCTGCCATTTCTCAGGGGGGGTGTAATCCTTTGTTTTGTCATCTGTAATCCTGTCAGTGAACTATCAGAGGGAGTGGGGAGGCAGCAGAATGGAGGGGAAGGTAATCCCATGATGCCTTGGTACTGATCCCGGCAGGGAGACGCCCCTTGGACTCGTACCTTCCCACCGCCGTAGGTCACGTCGTAGCTCCCGACGATGGCATTGGCCAGCATGAGGGGCACGAGGTCAGGACTGGTGGCGCTGGCCCCCTCCACGGCGATGGCTACGTGTGCCAGGGGCATGGCGTCATCACGCATGCGCACCTGTGGGGGGGGGCAGGAGAGGTGGGAACAACCAAACCAACTCAAAAACATAAGTAAGCTGAAGGCTCGATTATACTACCACAGCCACAGTGACACTTACACTGTTTAACCTCACTATGATGCTCACTGTACAATGACATTCTACTACAGCATTTGACAGCTATGGAAAGTCATCACTAATAGGTGATAGATGGCATTCCTCTGTAAATTTCTGTCATCTGTCCAGGTCTTCAGGTATCCCAAAGGTATGATCCTGGTTGACATGGCTGAGTTCTTCCACCGTGTTGCTGGTTGTCCTGTTCTTTACCTTATTCAAACATTATGGTTCCCAAAGCACTGGATCTTGGCATAACTCATTCAATTGGGTCATTTGTGTTTCATGTGAAAATTCTGGTTTGATTCGAACAAAATTCTACTTGTTTGTTTTCCTTGTGGCCCAATTTTCACTTTCTGCTGTAAGTTGGTGTCATCAGTATATAGAAGGTCATTGAGGTTTCTTCATCCAGTGTTAAGTCTCATTGTATGTTCTGGATACAAGATGAATAGGTGCGCGGCCAATCTGCATCCTTATCTGACGGCTTTACTAATCCTGAACCACTCAGTTTCTCCACTGACTCTGGATTCTCATCCAGTTCAAAATTCTCTCTTCATGAGGAGATTTGCTGATACACCCATTTTCCTGAGAAGCCCATGCCAATGCAATCAAAAGCCTTGTAATTAATAAAAAACATTTCCCTCCTCCTGTTATTCCATGGTTTTTTTTTGATTATCTACTGTGCGTCATCAATGATGTCTCTTGCTCCTCAGCCTTACAGTTTGCACACTGTCAGGTCTTCTATGGTATTGAATATAAGCAGACTCATTCAACCTGTAGCACACTGAGTTTGCATAATTCGGTCAAGACTCCAA